ATCAAATTTTGCAAGTATTTCACACCTTATGCTGCTGTCTTGTGCTAACAAATGGGGTCCTAGTGTTTATTGGAGTGTTTAACCTTGAAATTCAATTTATTTAGAAATGTAAAAATGATGCACTCCAATCATTTGTGGAGTGCACAGGCAATTCACTCCAACAATGCTCCAGGAACAACTAGATATGAACTGACATCCCATCCACTCCCAAGTTTTTGGAGTACACAGGGCCCAGGTGTTCAATTCAGAAATATAAGAGTGGATTAGCTGGAATTTAACTCATTTTGAATGCACAAAAACTGTGGAGAAATGTTGTGAGAAGGGGAAATCTTTCTGGAGTGAACCTTCTGGGTGGGTCTGAACCTTGAAGATCCTGAAAATGCAAACTCAGTATCAACTGAGATAATTTTCATGGCTGGATTACATGATCAAAACATGTCCATGTGGTAGAGAGAGTTAGAATTCTAACTTGGTTGATATTTCACAAGGCACGGTGAAATATTGCAAATTCTTTGAAGGATGAGAGTATTGTAAAAGTGGGTAGTGGTTACTAATTTGAATTCAGAAGAGGAATTAACTTCTGAAGTCAGAATTAAATAAAAGATTAAGATGAAAAAGTTACAGTGTGAACTTGAGTGAAAAGGAGGGCTTAATTAAGCAGACTTTTGGCCATCTTGGCTTGCTCTAAGGCTGACAAAAACCTTGGAAGTGTTTGGTATTTGAATATTAATGGAGTGCATCATTTTTACACTCCAAAAAAATTGGAGTGCAAGGTTGAACACTCCAAAAAACACTAGGGCCACATTTGTTTGCACAATGTAGCGGTGTACTGTAGCAGCATAATGTGTGAAATCCCCACAAAATTAGATAGAATTTGAGTTGATTGCACACATAACATGCTTCCATATGACACCAAAAAACTTGGCCCAGATTTTGTAGTACAAAACACTTCATTCCAAATGGGTTGGAGTGAACCAGCTTGTTCAATCTCTTAGCCTGACCCAAAAAAAAGGTGAGAACAGAATATTGAGAACAAAAAGGTGAGAAAAAAATTGAGCAACAAAATTGAGAAAAAAAAATTGAGAAAAAAAATGGGCCTTAATAAAAAAACGCGGTTTTTCCGCGTTTAGACGCGGGTTTGCTTGCGCACAGCGCACGCAGTTTCCGCGGTTTAGACGCGGTTTTTTAATTAATTTTTTTTGCCATTAATTTCAAGTTTTTTTAATTTTTTAAAATTGGTTTCCTAAGGTATAAAATGCGTAGAATTTAATTGCTAAAGGTCCATTTT